TGCATGAGTGGCTTCGCTGAACTCGAGCACTTTTGAGTCCGCGTTGGAGTGAGTGAGTACTATAACTATCACTACTGCTACTACTACTACTACTACTACTACTACTACTACTACTACTACTACTACTATTACTTCTACTTCTATGGCTGTGCGCTTTTACTTCTAGTTCTATTTCTACTTTCACTTCTTCTTATACTTCTCTTCTACGTGCACGTCTACTTCTACTTCTACCACTACTTTTACTTCTACTTATACTTCTACTACTAGTGCTTTCTACTTCTGCTTTTACTTCTGCTTCTACCTCTACGTGTACGTCCACTGCTACTTCTACTTCTACTTCTGCTTCCACTTTTATTTGGCTTCTACTTCCGCTTCTACTTCTGTTTCTACTTCTACTTCTACTTCTACTTCCACTTCTTCTTCTACTTCTATGTTCACGTCTACGTCTACTTGTATGTGTGCGTCTACCGCTACTTCTACTTCTGCTTCTACGTCTAAGTGCACGTCTATTTCTACTTCTACTACTATTTCTGCTCTTATCTCTGCTTCTACAATTATTTCTGCTCAGACCTCTTACCTCTACTTCTACTACTACTTCTACTTCTACCTCTACTTCTTCTTCTACTTCTGCCTCCACGTCCATGCGTGCGCCTACCTCTACTTCTACTTTTACTTCTACGATCATGTCTACTTCTACTACTATTTCTACTATTGTTTAGACTTATGATGATGATTGGTTATTGTTAATTACTAGTATAGCTTGTATTGCCTGTAAAGTATTGTGTGGAAGTTGTGAGTACTACTCCTATTGCTGTTACTGCTGCTACTTTTACTTCAGTGCTGCAGTTTTGTTATCATTGTTCCCTAAACCCTAAACCCTAAACCCTAAACCCTAAACCGTGTTTCTTGTAATTCTCATTCGCAGTCGGAGGCCCATGGGTGCCATCAGAGTCCCTTCCCCTGGCCCACGGGCCACCGGGGGCGATGGTCGCTGCGTCCTTCCCAGGCGTCCAGGCAGGAGAGCAGCCGTCAGCGTCAGAAGCTTCTCATCCAAAGATGCTGAGAGCTGCCAGGTGACTCGGGTGGATCATCCAATATCGATCACAGCGCCAGTCCATCGGAGGGAGTAGAATGACGACCCAGTTGCCTAGTGACCTTTTGCTTTCCGAGCATTCCGTTCTCCTAAACAGAACCTAAACCCTAAACCCTAAACCCTAAACCCTAAACCCTAAACCCTAAACCCTAAACCCAGAACCGCCTTTGATCCAAGGCTCCTGGTGTCCACGTGGTTGACTTTGGCTCCAACGTTGCGGGAGTCTGCCAGATCTCCGTGCCTCAAGCGGCGACTGTCACGCTCAAGCACGGAAGCTCGCCTTGAAGCTTTGCGTTTCATGTGGAGGGGTACCTCCTTATGATAGGGATCCTATTATTTAGGGTACTATATTAGGGTCCCCTATTTTCGGGAACCCTCATGTTGCACCTGACACAGGTCACATCGGTTTCTAGCCATTCAGCTCTGGCGGCCCTTTTCTTAAACTTGTCGGTTTCACTTCCTGGCTTTGCGGAGGAGAGGTGCTGCAGCATGCGGCCATGCCACTGAAGAAGATCGACCCATCCCGCGTCTACTTCGACAACCTGAGGCGACTCGTTGCGAGATAGAGGGGAGCGCGCAGAGTCTCGAAGTCTAAGTGGTGCTTGAGGTCTGCTGCTGCCAATGATACCCTGATTCTGGATGGTCCCATTCAAAACTGGCGACCGCGATTCACCTACCACGGTTTCCGCTATGTGGAAGTCTACGGCTTTCCGGGACCCTGTTGGATGCTGATGGCCTTTTCAACGCATGATAGAAGCTACCCAGAGACTCCAATATTCC